ATGTAACAGACCAGGTTCATTGTCAGGATAACCATGGGTTCGACCAGAGCTGTGGGCCCTGAACTTCAGCAAATAAATAGTGAATAAACGAAATAATTAACGAACCTAAGATTATCACTTTCAGCTCGTTAAAAAAAGTCTTTGATCTAAACAAGTATGATCACCAACCCCTCACTGGGTTACACTTCTACGTACAGTAGAATTTGAAGTACATGGGCAGACTGATATTAAATTCCAAATAGGCACCCTTATCTTACGGATAAGCCCACTTTACTGATGAAAGTCAACGCAACCGTCAGACGAATTCTCAAGCACCAATCCTACCCTCTCACTACTATACCCAGCTTAGTTATGTAGATTTTTGTGCGCTGTTCAATCAATTTGATTGATCTTTTTTCTCTTGCCTTGTTCTTTTTTTTATTTTGTATTAATTGTCTGAAATAAAAGAATTGAATTGAATTCAAATATAATAGGGTTCTATACTTTTATTAATTTGTATGTCTTGCCCATAACAACAGGGCATTGGAGGGTAAATTGGTTAAATCAGGTTTGGGTTGACCACTTTCCCATTTCGGTTAGTTCATTCCCCATAGTGAAAATCTCAAATTCAGTTACAATATTACTGTATAATGCTAATTGTTTGGGAATATCATTTACTCATCCCTCATTTGGTTACACTTCCACTTACCGTGGAATTATAATAAGTACATGGGCAGACAGATATTGAATTCCAAATAAGTACCCTTACCTTATGGATAAGCCCGCTTTTACTGCTGAAATTCTATGCAACCGTCCCTTACAAATTCTGAGTCACCAATTCTACCCTCTCCCTGTACTCAGCATATGTAGTTCATTCAATGGGGTTAGAGTTCCATATACTTTCGCTCATTTACATATCTTATTTAAAATAGCAGGGCATTGGAGGCTAAATTTAATTTCTTATTTGGGTTAGTCCATTCTCTAGTGACCCCAGGGAAAATTTCCGAAATTTGTTACAATATTATTGTAGGCATAATGTTAATTGTTTCGGAATATTATTTTCATAATTACCTTTTTTTTTTATTATTAAACTAAAATGTACCCCTGATTTCTGTTAATATAATTTTAAACACCAACTGATGAAATTAATCACCATGTGTCTGTTTTTACAGTATGGAAAGACGCCTCTTGATCTGTACGATAAAAATGCATGTAGTGAATACGATAAATTCTCCAAAGGAGACAACAAGTTAAATATGAGACAATCACTTGAAGGTTTGTTATGTATAATTCACTATGTGAAGCCAATCAACATAAAAATATAATAGGACTGAATATTATTTTGTACTGCAATTTGTTTAGGCAATGGCCAGACATAGAGCAATCTAATTGTTTTCTGCAATTGCAATAACCATCAACAGCAGTTTCATGGGTAACTTAAAGCAGAACATCGACAGGTACAATAAATCAACAACAAAAAAAAAACTGTAAAATCAATTGCCTTTAATAGGATACGAACTTCCAAATAATATTTTAATATGAATTTGTAACATAAACTGTAAACCGTACAAAAAGAGTTATCTTCAAGTGTAAACAAATTATTTTTTTAGCATTGCAGCAAGACAGTTTACAGCTTTTACATTTGAATCGCCTATGTATGTGACATAAATTATAATGAAATTTACAAGTACAATCAAGACAAAACACTAAATATCTGCTGTATGTTATCTTCATTAGATCGGGCTGTTCCATCAGAGATATTAGCTAGGGGTGGTGACGCCCTAAAGGCTTACAATGATGCAAAAGAAAATGGTACAATGACTGTTGTTAATTCAAGAATAAAGTTCCTTGGGAAAGAAGGGTCAGGAAAGACTTGCTGTATAAAAGCCATGCTTGGGAAAGAGTAAGTATTCAAGATGGTTTCTATATGTATATTGTAGTTTTGTATTTGTTTTGCTTGCATTTAATTTTCAACATTTTACTCAGTACTGAAGAGCGCCGTATAATAATGGGATCAATATTCAGGCAATTGTTAATTAAGTTGTCTTTGAACATTAATCCTATAAGTTGATATAATATAAAAGGAATGTTGTATATAGTTAGTTTTTGTAATTAACTTTCTTCCTTAATTCATATAACTTGGAATTTATTCTGCCTATTTACAATTTTACTCCCACGTCTACCAGTTATCGAACTGACCAAAGTAATCCAACATATACATTTAGAAAAATTAATGAAACTACGACAACTTTATACATGAACTCGAAGGAACATCCTGGGAACGAACTTGATTTAAATGACCCCAATATTTTTTCAAATTTTGAATCCAAATTTAAATACATCTATGACAAACGTTTTCCACTTCACCAACATTCTGCCAAGAAAAAGAAAATTAAGACACGGATGACCGGTGGGATACTTACCTTAATTGAACATAAAAATAAATTTTATTCCAAATCCCTTCGGTATCCTACAAACAATAGCATTGATAAATTCAAACAATTTTTTAATAAATTTAATTTAATTACCCGTCAAACTTTGAGTAATTTTGACGAAGATAAATTCAATAAGGAAAAAAACTAACATTAAAAGTACATTCAAAATTATCAATAGTCTTATATAAAAATGAAGGTAGACAGTAATCACGATAAATGCGCTATAAACTCTAACGGAACCCCTTCAAATGACACTATTAAAATTGCAAATCACTTCAATAATTCTTTTGTTAATATTGGTCCTACACATTTAAATAATATCGGTCAGTCTATTCAAATTACAAATCTTGCCTTCCTAAACCAGACCTCCATTCGTCATTTCTTAACCCTGTTACTTCTCATGCGATTCTATCTGTCGTAAGGGATTTCAAAAAAGCACAAAGCACCTGGTATTGACGATATTAATTCATATATTATTAAACAATCTAATAAATTTATGAAAATATATAAATAAAATAAAAATAAAAATAAAAATAAAAATAAAAATAAAAATAAAAATAAATAAAATTAAATTTAAAAAAAAAAAAAAATAATAATAATAATAATTTTATTTCGGAACCCCTCTCCTACATTTTTAATTTTTGTCTGACAAATGGCGTTTTTCCGGATAGCCTCAAATACACGAAAGTTAAACCAAAATTTTATGTCCGGTAAAAAATCTTATACTTCTAATTACCGTTCAATCCCCACTCTTTCAGTTTTTTTTTTAATTTGTGAACGTTTTATGTATGATCGCATTTTTTTTCAAAATACCAATATTTTACACCCTATTCAGTTTGGCTTTAGAAAAAAATCTACAACACTACAACTGCACTTCTTCAACTTACGAATGATATAACAAGAGCCTTTGAGAATCATGAAATTGCCGCTCTCGAAGGCTTTCGATACTATTGGCCATAAAATCTTACTATCCAAACTATTCCATTATGGTATTCGTGGCCCTGCATATAATATTTTTAAAAGTTATACCTTTCCAATCTTACAATGCACAACATTTAATAATGCCCTGTCCGACTTTCTGCCTATCACTTGTGGAGTTCCACAAGGATCTCTGCTAGGTCCCCTTTTGTTTTTGTTATACATCAGGCATTTGTAATTCATCTCATTTATTTACATTTCTTATGTATGCTGACGACACCACTCTTCTGTATACGGACAAAAATATTGATTCACTTTCTAATGTTTCCAATGACAACATGCCCACTAAACATTCTTAAACATTTTTTCTGCCAACAAGCTTTCTGTTAATTTGAAGAAGTGTAGTTGTATTGCCTTTCATAATTCCACTAGATTACTTGATAACATACTGACCAACTAAAAATAAATAATCAAATTATCCCACTTGTTAATGACACGAAATGTTTGGGCGTTTATATCGACAGTCGCCTAAATTGTAAGAAGAACATTTGTGAAAATGAGAACATAATTTGTAATAGTATCAGTATTATATATAGATTATCTTCCTGTATTCCTATACTTTATAGCTCCTTGATTCTTCTTTATTGTAATTATTGCAATATTGTTTATGGCCACTTCGTTTCCCTGTTTTTCCCTCAAACTCAAACTGTTAACATTAATTACCTTTAACGATGTTTTCATTTTCTCCTGGGTTAATTCTCTCCTCCCCTTCAAATTTCAATTATTATTCCATTTTAATCATATATCATAACCATAATACTAGATTTTCTAATCAAATGCACCCCCCCCCCCCACACTCTTATACACATCTAGATGTGTATACACACACACAGAACAACTTCCATTCAACATAATATCCAATTCTCAGGTCCAAGTTCCTGGAATAATCTTCCTTCCTTTTACAATTTTAAATTCCAAATAAAAAAAAAAATACCGGCAGGTTAAAAAAAACCACATATTTTAAAAATGTGTCTTAATTTGTTTTTCTTTTTATCATTTAGATTTAAGCTATTTATGGTTTCATGGGTTTTATATTTGAGCATTGTTTTTGCCGTTTTTGTATCGTAAGGTTTTCACTTTCCTTTCTTTTTCTCTTAGTCTGTCCTGTCTATTATTGTCTTGTATCGTTTGTACCTTCTTATTTTTGTCATGCTCACCAAATGTACTACCATATAAAAAAAGATAAATAAATGTGCATATAAATGAATGAATGAAATGAATGAAAGAAAGAAAGAAAGAATGAAAGAAAGAAAGAAAGAAAGAATTAATCTATTGCTTATGCTATGATTATTGTTTATAGTTCTGTAAATTAAATAATATCATTGGTAATTGCTTTTAAAACGTCACTAATAGATTTAATCAGAAAGAGCCGCCAACTGATGGTATTGTTAAAATTATCGTCTTCCAAACTGTTGGCAGCGATTGGAGTAAATGGGAGGAGCAGGAAAATATAGACGGTATGATTATATGGATAAGAAACATAAGGGGGATGAATATGGTCCAGAAGATGAACTAATAAAGTTCGAAATATTGAATCACAGTGGCTTGTATCACTTTTTTCGGAGTTTGTTTGAAACTATCTTATGTCAAATGCTTAGACCTATGGATGTTTTGAATGATAAAGTGTATAAAAAAGCTTAAATTCTTCTCAGGCAAAGAATAGATACAAAATTATGTGGTCATTTATTTAAAACAAGGCATATTTATATAGCACAATATTAGAAATTCATTGTTTTTTTATATCCTCATCTATGTTTTTACCAAGAAGTAAAGCACCATGATAGGTTTTAACATTATTAAAATTGTTTAAAGATGTAGCCAGTTAATTAATTATATTCCTAGTATAACAATTGTCTATACAGAGTAATAGATCACGTTAATAAAAGGATCTATGTTAGGATATTTATACCGGCTGAGCAGTTATACAATCTAGAGACAATTTTCTGCCCCTCCCCCTTTCTTTCCCTTTGCTTTTTTAAATGCTAACATTGTTTCATAGTGTGTGGACGAACCAAGCAGGTACTTGATGACGCTATCATCGCAAGAACTGCAGAGGAGCTGTTAAAAACACAACATAGTACCTTTTTTGTTATTATTTTTAGTAAAGAAATCTCTGTCGGTGCCAACAAGTACTTTCAAAAGTGACAAACCCCCGATCAAGAAGCTTATTAAAGAAATTCAAGATCAGATAATTAAATCTAGTACGGCAGATCTGAGTGGTGTAACTTGCATATGGGACTATGCTGGTCAGCTCACTTATTATTTAACTCACCGGGTAAGTAGTTAATATATTACATATTATAGTGTTTCCTATGCATCTCACTGGGAAGGTTTTTCATTTTGCGTAGCCATACGACCGTTCATTTAAGTCACCGAGCCTTTGGTCACTCTAAGCCATTTTGTCCCGCAGTCATTATCATAGACACTGGAACGAGACGTTATGCTATTAATACTTATTAAAAGTAGGACTTAATAATGGTAATAATATTAATGAAAATAATAATAATTATAATAATAATAATAATAATAATAATAATTATTATTATTATTATTATTATTATTATTATTATTATTATTATTATTATTATTATACTTACTATGTCTACGGGACATAGGGCTTTTCCCCATTGCTTTAATGAGAAATGAAGTTGAAATTGCAAAAAAAAAAGAAAAGCCGTTAAAAGGATAAAGTAAAAAAAAATAATGAAGTGGAAAAACAATGAAGTGGAAAACAAAAACGAAAACCAAGTTCACTGCTACGTTACAAGTGAGACTTGAACTATGGTTGCAATGGTAATAGGAGGTACATCGTGACCATTGCGCGCCATATGAGCCGACCTTGCATAGAAACGTGCATTTTAGAAAAACGAAAATTGCGTTTAAATAACTTAATCAACTGTCAACAAAAAATCTTTAAATGGTCCTCATATCCACATGCTACTGCGGATCGTCACCAAAATTGGATCATTTCTTCATTTCACCATGAAAAACTATTCTGCAAAGTGTCATTTTTATCCATCTATAACTGGGACGTAAGCAATTTAAATGACCCTCAAATTTACAACCTAACCTGGATCATCTACACATAATAATATCTTCTTTGTAACTTGGGTTAAAATTTTTCGAAAACTTCATTCGGATCAGTTGACCCATTTTTTAAATATCTGGTCTGGGACGTTTTCCTTTAAATGGTCCTCATTTCACACCCTACGCCGGATCATCACAAACATTCAGTCATTTCTTTACTGGACCTTTACAAACTACTACAGAAAGTTCCATTTACACCCATTGAAAACTTTTTATAGCTATTTACGTCCGGGAACTCCAAAATTCAAATGACCCTCCAATTTACACCCTTGTAATTTGGTTAAACGTTTTTCAAAATGTTTCATTTAGATCAGTTGATCCGTTTTCGAAATATGTGGTCTGGGACGTTTTCCTTTAAATGGTCCTCAGATCCACACCATACTGCGGATTGTCACAACAATTTAATCATTTTTTTACATGACATTTACAAATTATTATAGAATGTTCCATTTAGACCCATAGGTTTTTTTTAAAGATATATTTAGGTCTGGGTTCTCCAAAATTGAAAAGACCCTAAAATTTACACCCTTCACTGGATCGTCACTAACACATAAACATTTCTTCCTTGTAACTTGATTAAACTTTCCCGTAAGTTTCATTCACATCAACTGACCAGTTTTTGAAATATCCGGTGTAGACTGTTTGACCTTAAGTCACTTTAATTGGTCCTCACACGCACACCCCACCATAGATTGACACTAAGTATTAGGAGGCACATCCTTGCTTCGGCAAAGTACTGAAAAATTCTAAGCATGGGAAGTGACCAAAGTGACGGCCACAAAACAACAGTGTAAAATGAAAAAAAAAGAAAAAAAATCAGAACAAAAACAATGGCTTTTCCAAGTACTGCTGCGAAAAGCCAATAATAATAATAATAATAATAATAATAATAATAATAATAATAATAATAATAATAATAATAATTTGAGTAAGGATCAAAAGTTTGTTTGATTAAACTGTACATGCTAAAAGGAAACCTAAACAATACCAATAATGGTAAGACACCTAAAAGAATTAAACTAAGATATATTTTTCCAGATCTGTGTACGTATCTCGACGGTACATCTTTACAACTTCTGGTTATATAGTACCCTTACTAATATTAGGCGTAATAACTAATAATACTAATAACTGACTACTGTAAGAAGTACTAATAGGCCCAATACTGTTGGGCCGACCCTAGACATTTTTATTTAAATATTTCACGATACAAGTTTACGATAGCAAAGTAGGTGTGGTCGGCCGTCACTCAAAATGTTTCAAAAGTGGTCCAAGGGCGAAAAATATGACAATTAGAGACTTTATAGGCTTATTTAATTGATTTTATAGATTTCAAAAACCTTTACTGAATATTGTGGCAGTTAAAAAAAAAGAAATCCCCACCTACCTACCTACCCGATTTTGGGCCCTGTTACGCCAACATAACATTTTTTAGGCCTGAGTTGGAGCACGTCAATGTATTTAAAACAAATGAACATAATATATTTTGAATTTTAAATCATAGGCCTACATATTACAATCAATAATTTCTTACCTTTTTCTAGTTTTTCCTTACAGACAGGTCGTCTTATGGAGTTGTATTCAATTTGCTAGACGATCTGGATGCACTTATAAAACTAAGAGGCTTCAAGAAAGTAATTATACACCTTAAATATTCGAATGAGTTACTGAAATTTGGATTACAGTATTTGTCATTAATTAGTTAAAATCAATATACGTTTGTCCCACTTCCAAATTCATAAATTTTAAATGGCATTTATTTCTTCATTTCTCAGGGAGAGTTAGAGATGACAAACTGTATCTAAAGTTCGAATAACACTTTATATTACTCGTGCAGTTCAAATATTCCATTTTAATGCAAATGTACCGGTACATATAAAACTATTTAATAAATTCATTGGATCCAACGATAAATATGTATTGGAGGTTGTTCTTGATAATCCAACGTCAAGTGTAAAATTGAGATGTTCTTTACTATTTATTTCTTGACGTTTTGCCTGATGTCAGCAAGGTTTAGTCCTGTCTCTTATACACATCTAGACAGAAACATCTACTGTATGCTATGTTGCATTCTGTACTATAGATGCTAGGTGTATATACGCTAAGAAAAAATATCCCATACTCTTTTAAATTCCTTTAAATTCACACACTTTTACGTAGGTACCATTGATGAAGAGTTGTTGGCGAAAATTCGATGAAGAAGGAATTCTTTCGGAACAGCTAGTGCGTCATTTATGGCGGAATGAACTTGGTGCAATTGAGGAAGATAATAACGTCATCTTTGGAAACTTTATTGAACTAATGAAGACATTTGGCCTCATGTTTGAAAAGGTAGGAAGCCATTGATTATAAATATATAGCGTAAAGATGGTGTATCACATTAATGTTCCGCGTGTGTGCATCGAATTCTATTGTTTTATCAGCATACCGTCAATTGTATCCTATCGAGCTTCCAACAAAAGTCCCAGTTGGTTAAGACGTGTGCATAGACAGCAGAAGATGCTGAGTTCGAATCCAGAAAACCTGACGGTATATTGCACAGGTCTAACTCCCAGGCAGATTCCCTCATAGGCCTACAACTTGAAATAGCGGACACATAGCGGATCTAAAGTTAAGCTGAAAAAAAAACTTCTGAGTTTTTGGGAGCAGCTTGCTTGGGAATCATAGTAAATAATGTTTCAATTAGCTTTGCTGCGAAGCACCCTAAACATATTATAAACAAATAATCACCTTTTTAGAAATGGGAACTTTTTACTTCCATTATACACTCGTACCTGCCTATCTGATATATTGATTTTATATGTCTCACCTTTATGACTGATGACCGATTTGGCGTGAAACCAGTGATAGCAATGGTGAAACACACTAAAATTTGACTTTATTCACAAAATAGATATTATTTGACCAAAATGTCAGACTGTAACTCATCATCTTAAATTTTTATCGAAGGAATCTCACGAAAGTGAGAGACTGTTTATAGTTCCGTCTCGGATGAAACACAAAATAGACAACTTGGAAATTAAGAAAGACGAAAAGCAGACAGTATCGGTGTACGTGACTCCCGTAGACTTTTTGCCTGATGCTGTCTACAGTGTTTTGGTAGTCAGATTTCTTGATCTAAGTCAGGACAAAGCATGTATTGGCGACCGGGAATTGTTTCAGAATCAGGCTAAAATTGGATTCGACAATATGCATTACCTAAAATTGGGGGTTGTATGCACAGAAAATAAACGATTATTGAAGGTAACCTCTTTAGTTTTCTTGTGACAAACTACATTACATCGGATAATTGGATATAAGAATATAATAATTTCATCATATCATGACATAAAGATGGGAAGATGATGATGACAAAAACGATGATGATAATGATTATAATGTAGGCCTAGGACTAATAATAATGATGATAATAAAATTACACTTTAATAGGCTTATTGAGGCGCATAATGCAAAACACCCATTCGCATTACACAAAACAAGATGATCTGAGATTACAAACCCTCGCCCTTTTGCGCCACCTCAAGTCGGTAGGACGAAAAGCTTCTTCATAGGCCTCGCATGGCAAGCCCGTAACTCGTAACTTTGACTCATCCCTTACTCTTCCCGCCGGTCGATCCGCTCGAGTCCGCTCGGCCTTGCCAAACAAGGACAAATGATTCGTACGAGTTTGCTCTGCCGGCTGTTGCGGCTGAGAAATATATAAATAACATTTTTAATTCTGCATCTTACTCATGATCAGCATTAAATTAATGGAGGACTGAGCTACAAGTAGGCCTAACATTGTCAATGGCCGAAAATCTGAAATAAATCGGTCCAGTAGTTTTTGAGTTATGGGCCAGCGGAAGGACGGACACACACACCACAAACAGACAGACAGACAGACCCACACACACACACACACACACACACATACACACGCACACACACCCACCCACACACGCGCGCTATTGCAATACCCTTCACATCTCGTTCGAAAAGGCGAGGGTAATTATCTATTAGGCAATTACTATAGGCTTCGCCTACAATACTATTTAATAGGCCTATAATTAATAGCTAGGCCTAAGTACTCAATTATTTAAAACCTACAATAAACATTCCACAGTATGTATCTAAAGTTCGAATAACACTTTATATTACTCGTGCAGTTCAAATATTCCATTTTAATGCAAATGTACCGGTACATATAAAACTATTTAATAAATTCATTGGATCCAACGATAAATATGTATTGGAGGTTGTTCTTGATAATCCAACGTCAAGTGTAAAATTGAGATGTTCTTTACTATTTATTTCTTGACGTTTTGCCTGATGTCAGCAAGGTTTAGTCATAAGTGCATATATGACAGTGGTGGGCTTTCCGACGATGTCAGCTCGGATGAACCATGACAGAACAATGTAAAGGAGTGTCAACAGATCACAGACTGTCAACTCAAACACCATTCACATCTATCACTGACCATATAATTACACATAACCACGTCCCAAACTGGAAAACCGTCAACATCTTAGCCAAAGAATCAGAATGGAACATTAGAATAATCAAACATAAGACTACTCCCTAGTAACATGAATAGAGATCAGGGCGCATATGAATTGCCACATATTAGACGTTTTGGAGACGTTCCGCACATCCCATTTGGGATATCCAAAACGGTCATCAAAGGCTAAGGACATCGGAAAACCCACAACTCTCATAGGCACTTAAACTAGGCCTTGATGATAGCAAGCGAAACGTGAAGAAATAAATAGTAGGCAACATCTCAGTTTTACACTTGGATCATCAAACATAACCTCCAATACATATACAGTACATATAAATCTGCCCATTAATTGACAGCATAGATATATTATATTAAAAGCATAATACCATAAACTTGTGTAAAAAAATCCTTTGAGCTTAATAAATTTGAATTAATTAACAGGTTTTTTTTATTGCTGTTTAATGACCTTTTGACTTTCTGAATTCTGCTATATGAGATTTTTGAGTCAAGTCATTCGAGATAGCCCGATTGCAGTTTTATACAGAAGTTTTGTACCGAAAAAACATCGCGTCCGGATCGCTTCCAATCTGCCGGCAAGAATTTGACACACGGTCGATCAGCTGGAGTCAGCCTGCGGTCGATCTGCCCGGCTCGGCCTATAAATACTACTCTGTCTAACGATCTGCTCGCGTCGGCTCTATCGGTTGCGGTCGGAAAATATGTAAATAACATTCTCAAATCTGCAACTTACTTAAGATCAGCACCAAGTTCGAGGAGGACCTGGATACATGTAACATTGTCAATGTGTGAAAATGTGAAGTAAATCGGCCAGGTAGTTTTGAGTTATGCGCCTGCAAGGACACACACACACACACCACATACAGACAGAGAGGCAGACACATACGCGCGACTCGAGCTCTTGCAATACGGTACCATTAACCTCTCCTTCGGAAAAGAGAGGGTGATAATAATTTGTTTTAAGAATGTTTAATAAGAACCATATCACTACAAATTTCGAAGAAAAAAAAATCGTCACCCACACCACGAAGGGAAAAAAACATAAATAAGACTTTTTCATTAATTTTCTTTGATAGTTTGATTACTGCATGTACATTGAATTCTACCTTTTCACCGAAATCCTAAGAATAAACTACATTAGTTAGCCAAAGCGCACAAATCAAGAAAAAATGGATTTTGAGTTTTCACTAACAGAAGAAAAATTCTTGTGGTGTGTTTATCAAAAGACATTCTTGTTGCGTTGCGAGCGCAGTGTTCGGATAAATATACTCTTGGAGCTTATTTGAGTCGTGTGTGCACTTTTGCGTGCACTCAGTGTCTTTCAAAAAAAGAGCTGTATATGGGTGCATGGTTGAAAACATATTTGGTCACACGATGTAATTCTGGTGCAAAAGGTACGCCATTTTAAATTTTAAGATGGCCAAAGAGCTATGCAAAATATTGTTATATCATGTCCCATAAAAGCAGTAATAAACTGATTGTTTTTCTATTATTGTATTACACCTACACTGTACATCGAATTACATAGCTAAAAATGTCACATGACCAAATATGATCAAAGGTCAAAACTTAATAATCATCAAATAATACTCGAGGTTAGGTCTAAGAAAGATTAGACTGCCTAAAACTGCATTCAAATTGGATCCGAATAATAATAATAATAATGTAATTATATATAATTTTTTTTATGTAACAGTTGGAAATAACACGTAGGACAGTGTTAGACGAAAATGGGAGAAAGCAACCAACAAAAAAACCGCAACCCATCGCTTGTATGGAGGTAGTCTTTAGATTTTTTAAAAAGTATATATATATGTGTATATATATTAAAAGTATATATA